TGAACACATGACTTCAATTCAATATGGCAGGTGGTACAAGTATACCGTATTTCCGCCTTAAATAAAAGCCCAGGCATCTATTTCCTAAAATGGTATCTGGACCTCAAAATAAATATAAAAAATACAAAAAAACTTTGGCTCAGAGCGGGATTCAAACCCATGACCTTAGGCAGCATCCACTAGACTACTGAGACACATCTTGACAACATTTGCGTAATTCTACTTGAATTTTATTGCTACCCTGGCATTTATTCGCATGCGGCTTCTATTTAAGGAAATACGGTATACTAGTACAACAACTCAACTGCTTAGTACCCACCTATATAGTTACCTACACTATATAACCTGTATACCTAACACTACATGTTTCCTATAATTTCTACTACTACCTACACTATATAACCTGTACCCTTCTAATTTCTACTACTATACCTATGACCTTTAAATTACACAATGATACCTACATGTACATGAATACCATATTAACCTTGCTATAAAAGTACATTCTTATCTTATAATACCATACCATTATATTTATACCTACATTATTAACTTATTAACCTATGAACCTTAATATGACACAATGATACCTATACCATATTAGCCTTGCTATGCAAATACATTCCTATCTTAATACCATACCATATTACCTATAATATTGCATACACAATTTAAGACAAGTTATCTTAATAGTGTACCATTATCCAAATGACCTATTACTACTTCCTACCATTACTGTCTGATATTGTAACCTCTACAACCTTAACATAATAAGACTAATATTAATACACAATTTACCACACAATATGTATATTAATCAAGAATAATTATTTAATTAAGAATTAATTGTGTATCCATAAATTAACAATAAATACTCACCACGAAATGCAACGCAGAATTGAGATTTCGTTAATATAGTGTCAACTTAACGCATTATTTGCATCAAAATGTCAGATCACACACGTAATTGTATCATTACGTTTGATCATAAACCTACAATGAGAGCTATTGACTTATTTTGAAAGCTGGGGCAAATACTCAACAATTGATCATAAGTCAAAGCCACGGGATCAAGAAAGAGATCAGAATGAGAATTAGGAAGCTAGTGCCCAGGACCGTCAGGCTACCTGCATCACAAACCTCACCAATCTACCCACCGTGACCCAGCTTAGACCAACTGTATAGTGTTTGCCTGGTTTTAGTTAGTTAAAGGATCGAGACAAGAAAAGAAAAAAGAAAAAGTCTGATCCTTTCTTCTGCTTAGAGTCCATATCACACAAAAAGGAAAAAGAGTGAAAGAGAAGAAGAAAAGGCTCTAGCATGAGATACGGGGAGCCACTATCGGACCCAAAAGGGGGACTCCTCACCCACACTCCTGGGCAGAACCCTCCCCCCTTTGCTAACCCTCCCCTTCCCTCTCACATGATCGGGACTAAAAGCAGGTCACTGTAAAAAAGGGTAGCTCAACCCATACAGTGAAAAAATAAGCTCATGTCTTCATTGAATCCACAACAGCTAGGATATGTTCTCCTGTCTATCATCTCCTCTCCTTCCTCCTCTCAGTCAGCTAGTAATTGATGATGATCCAATTGTAAACTGTAGATTAATGCTGGGTGCTTGATCCTTGATGCTATGATAACAGTGTGAAGTCCTGTGTCCATAGTGATTGCCTCCTTGTTAGTTGCATGACGTCTTTTCCAAAGAACCGTTAGTAAATCATATGGACTGTTCTTGATTGATACACTAGCTCTCACAAGGTACTGAATTATTTCATGATAATGACAAGCGCTACAGGCTCGATCCATAAAATGATTACGTGATTGAAAATAACAGAGTCTTTTTGCAAGCAGGTGGAGTGATCCAATGGTGACAAACATTGTCCAGAGACAGCAAGACTGGAGACCAGGAGACGTTACAATTTTACGCTACGTGAGGACACGTGTACCAACACAAACAGAAAAACATTAATATTATTATCATGCATATGTATACATGCAGACACTAACATTAAAAACAATAATGTGAAACATCAAGGGACTCTGTCCCCTAGTCATGGGCACAAGTACATACACACGGAATCAGTAAGGGACAACCAATTAGTATAATACAAACACACCAATAATAGCTAAACTTACAAACAGTTTAATTTAGGACCATAAGCTTAGAAACAGTTTAACGTCATGTTTAGGAACTTAAACTTAGAAACAGTTTAACGTCATGTTTAGGACCCTAAACTTAGAAACAGTTTAACGTCATGTTTAGGACCGTTACAAAACCAAATAAAATATGTAGAATTAAATAGGAATTTACATACATTTGGCTACACATTAGTTACATTGTTCCTATAACTTCTATTACCATACCATTAATACCATACCATTAACATATACCATACCATACCATTAACATATACCATACTATATATTATACCATCCATATATTATACCATACCATATTATACCATACCATATTATACCATACCATTCACATATAATCTATGGAGTCCTGCCTCCTACCATATTGACCTTAACAGAATCAGTAAGGGATTCCCCAATAACAATATCTTAGACCTATACAGCTACAGACAATAATATAATTAAGTAGAGGATTAGATATCACTAGCTGCAGGCAGTCCCAACTAGCATGGCAATAGTAATAGCCTTACAATAACAACCAACTCTCAATACTGACTGCTGCCCTAAAGATATTAGACTCCAATACACAAGAGGACCTCTCCAATGACTTGATTTGGACTTTCACAAGGACATCAAAGACTTCAGAAAGACTTGAAACCCACTACCTTTATACAGCTCCTAAAATCAAATAAAGAAAACATGTTAACACGTGTATCTTTCAAACACACTCCCCTCCCTTCCCTCCCCTCTCCAATAACCAACTTACATGAATTTCAATTATACTGCTGTTCTTTAGATCCTCCTAAAAATTGAATAGAAAAAGTAAGTTAACATGTTAATCTCCTGAACACATTTCCCTCCTCCCTCCCTCCCTCCCCTCTCTCAATAACCAACTCACATAAACTAGTAATACTGCTGCTCCCCAGCTCCTCCTGTCTGTTAGTCTGTCTCTCTCTCTGTCACTCTCACACTCTCTTAGATGCTCTTGTCTTCAGGCTTTGTTCTTCTTCAAATCTCCTATCTATTAGCTGTCTCTCTCTCTCTCCCTCTCTCTCCTAAAAGCTAATGTCTTCAATAGGCCCGACCCGCCCGAGGAGCTAGCTAAAGGAAGGAAGCAGCAATATAATTATATTGAAGTACATGTACTAGACTATTTAATATGTATTTAAGTGTACATGTACTATTATTATTTAATTACTAATTATGAGTACAAGTACTAACTATTAAAGAGGAAAGGTAGCATTGGAGTGTTAGAAATAAATTAAGAAAAGAGGAATAAAGAAAAGATAGAAAAGGAGAAGAGAGAAGAATAGTTCAGGAGCATTGCTCCATTTAGTTCATGATTCAGTAGCTCCTTCTCTTGTAAGCACCAGCAGAAGATATAGAACTGATTGTTAGAGCAGGTTCACTGGAGACTGATTGAAGAATGTTGTAGTGTAGAGCTGGTGTAGAGCTACCGAATCAGTTATTAGATGGAAAATTGGTTGATTGAAGAGTGTTGTAGTGTAGAGCTGGTGATTCCTATAAGTAGACAGGTTGTATAGTTACTGGAATGATGTTACAGCTAGTGTTGTTATTGTAGAAGTAGTCCAAATGTTCTTGACAAGCTCTCATGACAAGGACATGATGAATTATTCCAAGATGATGAATGATGCCTCCATAAAAAGATAATCATGAATTTAAAGTCTTCTGCCAAGCTTCCCCTTCCTCTCTCTCTCTTTCTTTCTCAAAAATTGATGATGATTGATGATAGTGATCACACAAATCTCTCAGTTTAACTCCCTGTCTCTCCTCCAATCCTCAAACAGGAACAAAATTATAGTACATTTGATTGACTGGTGATAATTTAATGCAGATATTATTAATAGATTTAATCATTGAAAATTTTAAATGGAAAGCTGAGTTTTAGTTACATGCACAATGCATATATAGGCTCATTAGAAGTACTTCAAATTAATACATTCTATATCTAGTTTATTGCAATACCTCTCTTTTTCTCTCTAAAAAAAGCACCTCTTTCTCTCAAATGTGACTTCTAGATTCTACACTTATAAATTTAAGTAAAAGTGTTGTTTTAGCTATAATAGTTATTTTAGGCTTTTATTTTTATAGTTTGCTATAATACATTACATACCTCACTCTCTTTCACTCAAGAAAATAATCTCTTTCTCTCAAAAAGAGTTTACAAGTACTTTTTTGTCTTCAAGTTTTAAGTTTAAGTAAAAGCTGAGTTATAGTTACATGTACAATGCATATACAGGCTCATTACAAGTACTTGAAATTAATACATTTTATGTCTATAAACATTAAATACCCCTCTCTCTTTCTCTCTAAAAAATCTCTTTCCCTCTTAAAAAACTTCTCTTTCTCTCAAATGAAGCTGTAGATTGTATATGACGATGTTCAATTTCAAGCACGCTCCTTCATTCATACTGGAACCAGCTTCAGTATCAAGCACGCTCCTTCATTCATACTGGAACCAGCTTTAGTATCAAGCACGCTCCTTCATTCATACTGGAACCAGCTTCAGTATCAAGCATGCTCCTTCATTCATACTGGAACCAGCTTCAGTATCAAGCACGCTCCTTCATTCATACTGGAACCAGCTTCAGTATCAAGCACGCTCCTTCATTCATACTGGAACCAGCTTCAGTATCAAGCATGCTCCTTCATTCATACTGGAACCAGCTTCAGTATCAAGCATGCTCCTTCATTCATACTGGAACCAGTTTTAGTATCAAGCATGCTCCTTCATTCATACTGGAACCAGTTTTAGTATCAAGCATGCTCCTTCATTCATACTGGAACCAGCTTTAGTATCAAGCACGCTCCTTCATTCATTCTGGAACCAGTTTTAGTATCAAGCACGCTCCTTCATTCATACTGGAACCAGCTTCAGTATCAAGCATGCTCCTTCATTCATACTGGAA